ACGCTTAGCTAAAATCGATGATGTGATAAAGCATCTGTATGATTATTTTGCTCCAAAAACCACGCAATTACATCGTCGAGGCATTAAAAAACTACAGAAAATTTGGGAAAACATTATTAATTTTCATGGCGTATACTTTGCTTAGAACTGGTATTTGCTATTTTTCAATCAGTTGTAATCTGAAAAGGATATGACTTGTTATAAGCAGACAGGTATAGTGCTATATAGGCGCCTATTTCGTCCTATTGGTACTCATCAGTAGCACCTTCCCTCGCTTCCGTCGATCCCTTGAGGCTAAATAATACTCTAAAAGATAGAAATTTTTTACTTGGCGTCGATTCCTTTAGAGGATTATTTAGCGGACTGGTAAGGGCTCTTGTACAGCCCGACACACGTGTTTCGTCCTTACAGACTCATCAGCCGGGCAGAACCCGTCGTCTGTCGATCTTTTTGTAGTCAGTTCTCTCGGGAGCGTTACACTCCTTATAGAGAGTTATTGACGACGTACGTTTTACACTCTATGTCAAGCGAAATTTTCACCTAACACAGAGTGTCGCACTCGATTGCTAGCTGGGTGGTATTTTTATCATATTATACTTTTCCTTCGAATGCTTTATTAAGACCACGCTCAAATTTCAATAGATCCTTCCATTATTATTTGAGCCAGCATATCATGTGGTCTGGTAAGGGGACGTACGTCGTCGATAACTCTCTATAAGGAGTGTAACGCTCCCGAGAGAACTGACTATAAAAAGATCGACAGACGACGGGTTCTGCTCGGCTGATGAGTCTGTAAGGACGAAACACGTGTCTCGGGCTGTACAAGAGTCCTTACCAGACCATATGACATGTTGGCTCGAATAATAATGAAAGGATCTATTGGAATTTGAGCGTGGTCTTAATAAAGCACTCGAGAAAAGGTATAATATGGATTATTTAGCCTCAAGGGATCGACGGAACAGAAGGAGTGTGCTATTAATGAGTCCCAATAGGACAAAATAAGCACCTATATAGCACTAGACCTGTCGGCTTAAAAGAAATCATATCCTTACCAGATTATTTTGTTTTGAGCGGGTCTGTAAAAGAGCGGTCGATAGCAAAGGTATGATTCAATAAGTTGTTTTGTCGAAAATGATTTCATGCTACAAAACTTAGTAGCCTACCGAATACTTTAATAATATTGCATGTTATCAATGGTTGTCGCTTGTTACTTGTTATGTTTAGGGTAGCATAATTATTGGTGTCAGTCTGATTGCTCGCCTGTGTTTCTTCTAAATCAGTTCAACTGGAAACTTTTAACATAAGACGTTTTCCAGGAACGGTTACCTAATCCCAAAAACATTCATGTCTTAGCAAATTTATAATTTCCCGAACTCTGCGTTTGGGAGACTAAGAGCAAAAATAGATATTTAGATACTTAGATGATCCGTCTTCACTAGTTGCGCGACCCCAGCACATATTTAAATTGGTATATTGCTGGTTGTGCATATAATATTCCTTGGTTTTCTAACATATCCTTGCAAGGGCTTCTCCAGGTATTCACGTTTGTTTCCAAGGAATAGATTTCGGCAGCGGATCCTTGACCGGGCTTCCTACTACTAGTTGATTCGACAATGATGTTAAGCCGAAAACAAAAGCAGAAATAGGAAAGAAAACAACCGACCGCTCACGGATGATGTAGAAGCCGAAAGTCCAGAGCAAAAAAATAAAATAAAACAATGCCTTTTATGACCCTTAGGCAACAGTGGCGTCCATTAGAAGAATCTCTTATACAACAGTGACGGATATGATATCAAGGTTCACTGCTTGTGTAATTTGATCACTAGCAAGACCACGGTATAGATTTTAAAAAATATTCATCGGATACTCACGTTCAATGACAAATTAATGGCCAGTGAGCATGCGTAATCGGTAGCGTAAGGTGTTGTTCGACCTTCGAGTAAATTCACTACCCACTGGAGCATCCCGCATTGTAGCAATTCACGTTGGCACGACGGTCTACAACATGTTACGATAGTTGGCGTCGTCTAATACGGTACCGTCTGTCATACGATACCACCTAACTGGTGTTGTTCAACAAAAGGTCATGAGAGAATGGCATTATAGTTACTATATCAAGTTCTCAAGAAGTATTCAATGCCGCATTTCCACCTAAATTATCCTTGACAGCCTTGTGACATACCACTACACAAATTGCGTAACGATTATCAAGTGTCCAGGGCAGCATGTTGCTCTTTTTTCTTTTTTCCACGTCTTCTTCACTTTCACATCGGTCCAAAATACAGTTTGTAAAGCAGACTTAGTATTAAGGCTGCTCCAACAATCGACCATCAAAATAGAATCTTTACAGATATTTTCGCATAATATTGGCTGAAAAAACTACCACTACAAGATATTTTAAAGCCACAAATTAAATCAAGCATGAATCAAAGTGAAATGTTATCTTTTCAGGAACGCCGTGTATAAATACAGCGGAATTTTCTCCAAACCTGACGCTGGTCTTCTGAAGAGTCGCAATTAATTGCTCTTGTGTTGAGGTCGGAAGTCGACGACCACGTAAAACTGGTACAACGCAAGTTACGAACGCACGAACATGACCTTAACAATAAGCGTTACATTAGGTGTACAAATATGACTCCGCTTTGTTGCTGTAATAACAGTAAAAATAAAGTACCAAAATGTTCGCAAGAAAATGCGCAATTGAATGACACCAACATCAAGCAGTTTCATTGCAAAAATAATATTGAAAATCCAAAACGGCAGGAACTTTGCAATTTTCTCGCATGATAACGTTTGACTTCATGGCGCAAAAATCGATCGAAAACGTTATAAAAGATCTAAGGTGGGAGGTTTTAGGAAATTTTACCTAAACCACCTTATTCTCCCAACATTGCACCATCAGATTAAAAATTGAAAATAACACATTTCTACTACGAATTAACAACTTTCAAAAATGGCGTTTTCTGGGCACAAAAGTTGCAATCTTTATAACCATATAGAAACCATGATACAGAATATTTTGTACGTAGTAGATAGCATTTTTAACGCACTTTCAAGCAAAGAAAAAAAATTTACCTATCTTCATTTTCACGACAATCACATCGGAAAAACGGTGTAGTTACATTTGTACACCTTATATCAGTACTGGCGACAAGCTTCCACGCCTCCGAGCGCGCTACTATTTCACAATTGATACTCTGCACTTTTAGTACTAACGTATTGAAAAGTTTTCAAAGTAACGAAAATCTCAGGACAACAAAGATGCCTCGATAAACTGAATCCAACTTCCGTCTGATTATCAGTTTTACTTATTTGAACTTACTTAACACATTTTAGGCCATATGGATTGATTTAAATATGTACTCTAAAGAAAGCGACACTTTTCAACCGCAAAAAACATATTATTGATTGTAATCAACCCCATTATATGTGTTAGAACTTGCATATAATTCTCAAAAGCTTACAAGCTTACATAGCCTAAAAAGAGCAGCTTCCAATTTCCTCTCCTCTACAAAAACCAATTTTTTTATTTTTCATTTTTTTCCTTAAAAACTTGTACACCACAATCATCTAAGCACTAGAAAAAACGCTGTTCCATCCATTGCAAATGATGTATGAAGGTGTCGTACTTTTCAAAGAATCTGAACTATTTCAGACTTTATTTTGAGAAGGAATAGAAAATCATTGTAAAGAAGGTATTAATTTATCGACATAACTTCAAATCATAAAGTTCTCTATCTAAGCACCAATCAAAATGTAGCTGGTAAAGGTCTTCACTTTTAAAATAAATATTGTTTCTTCAAATGACACCAAACAGTCTTGTACACAAAAAAAATTTCTCACAGTTTCGCTATTTCATTGGAATTTGTCACTGAATTCGTGTTGCATTAACATGTCTACTGTTTTTTCTGTTCTGTTTTGGAAGTGAAAAACTAAGCCTACACCTACTAGGGTGGAGGCCTATTAAACAACACTCCAGACACGTCTTCTTCAGATTTAGAAAAGTTGATGACGATGACAAATCTCTTAGAAACGCATCGTGCATATGATTTCTCATGCATTGTGAAACTTGATTCGATGCATAGTTAGCCTGTGCACTTGGTTTGTTACCAATCTGTCGACTCCAGAGAGATGGGAATGCGTGGTAAGACCGGGATACGAAGTCGAACTGAGGACTAGGTGTGTTTTGCAGAACATCTCTAACCACCGCGCTACGCGCGTTCATCAGTTTTACACAGAAACAAAAAAGAGCAATTCGAGAGCGGTGAATGATGAGCAGAGTTGCCATTCTTACATTTGATTGACCGCGGCCAGGTAAAGACCACTTCTTTGTCATGAATGTGGATGGAGTTTGAATTCAGCCTTCATGAAGCAGTTGCTCTCTTCAGTCCAGTATTCATTAACAAATTGATGTCGGCCTTAGCTTCTTAAAAAGCCCTCATTTTTTGCTGACGATCTGGTTTCAGATAGTTCCGATCTCATGGTAGGATCACATATATATCATATTACATGGGTGCTCGGCAATACAGGCTTGGAAGCCAGAACAACCATGCTTGCTTTCTCGCTCCTGAACGAACTCCGCTAGCCTTTGTTGCGTGGTCGACATTGAAATTTGATATGGTTTGACTCTTGACTAAAAGATTGAAAAACACTGACCTAATGCATCGTGAGCAGTTAAGTAGGTCACAAGTGAACTTAAAATCAAAAATTCAAGTTCACTTAGCTATCTATATGGCATATATCCAAAAATGCTGAATGACATGTAGAACCTAGAACCTCACGCGGGAGTTGATCCTTCGCTTGATTTTCACCGGAGGCGTGTGTAGGCACTACACTGCAGATGCCTTTGCTTAGTCATCATTCTTCCTACGTTATAAAGTACCGACTGTCAGTGACATGAAGATTGTCTCAAGAAAGTACATATGTTTCAGACCAGATTCTTATTTCAAATAGAGCAGTTTCATATATACCTAAAAGAATTGAGTTGTGAGCGAAAATACAACCTCAGGCGGGAGTCGAGCCCGCATTTCATTCATACCGGGGACGCGTGCTACCACTACACCACCGAGGTACATTCGCGCCACCACTCATTCTTCAATATCTCTATGATAGATGCCAGACACTAACCTTTAACAGATTTGGTTGGGAATGCAATTTCGCTTTATAAACCCATTTGAGCTGACAGCCATTGTGATAGGTAATACTCGAAATTTCTAGTGTTTTCACTACATTTTTCGCAGTGTTGTGATGTTTCATATATACATAAGAGAAATTGGTGGTGCAAAAATAAAATAAAGTAGAGCAGTATCAACTATGTATCGAAAGTATATGAACTTTGTAGTTCTTCTTTTTGGTATTTAGGATTAGATGTTGAGAACTAGCTATAGTTTTGGAGAAATGGCATCAAATCATATATAGAAGACTTCGTAATTGAACGAGATCTCAGAATACAAATATAGAAACCAGTACTTACCAAGAAGATACTCTCGTCCTTTTGTGTAGCTGGCGATTGCGTTAATTATTCGAGCCATTTGTTCCCGAGAATCGACACTGTCTGCTTGCAACACGCGAACCAACACGGACTAAATACATAATATAATTTTACTTCCAAATTTCCTAACTGTGAAGTTGTCGGATCATACATACATTCCTTTTCATTCTCAGAAGTAAAACGTCATTGCTAATGATCCATTCGAGTGCTTTCCTTGAGTACTCAACAGAAGCAGCGATGGTGACTTGCTAAAAAGTTCAAGAAATGAAGAAATTAAGCAGGCTCCAATAGACCACAATCAAATAATACGGATAAGAAGGAGACGATGGAATTCTCGGCGTTAACCATTTCCTGAAGAGATGAGCCATACATTCGGATTCGACAAGTGAAGTGATTCGAATGCATGTCCGGCCTTTACAATAACTCGCAAGTCTTGTTGATGCACCTAGTCAGTGCTGATACTCCCAGAAACTATGGTACCACCTTAGCGATCTTGGAGGAAAGGAAGGCTTAATGAGGTTTGAGCGCAAGTTTGAACCACTGACCACGTGTTAATCAAACAATGATATATAATAATTGAGTATATTGTTGCAAAGAGCGAGAAGATACAGCTAGAAATATTGGAATTATAGGAAAAGCAGAACGAACCTGACGTATTGCCTGCAACAAAAGCGCCGTACATCGTCCAATCGGAAATGAGCAAAGTAACGATGACAATTTCTCCGCATCGATATCATCGAATAGACATCGTTCTGACTGATCTCTAACATTACAGACATTTTATGGATATTAGTGTAGACATCAGGAAATTTCACATGCAATGAAGTCAAATCTTATTTAAAGCTTGTGAGACAGATTTTATTATTTTCTGTAGACGATTCCTTTATTCCGGAGAAAAGGCAAAAAGAATTTGTAGACGATCACTCGACACGCTATATTGTGATGGTAGCACTGCGAGTGTAAGATCACAATGAAATTCTTTCTTTTTTTATTGTTTTTGATGTAGCGTATTTTCATTGGATCTCGCCACGAAAACATGCGAAAAAACAAATATTATCGCAATTGATTTGGTCCCGAAAATATAATATAAAAAGACAGATGAGGTAGTTTCAAAGCTGTCCGTCGGCGAGATTAAAAAATTGATGAAAGGATATTTGAGGGCAACACTATTTTTCTTAATAAAGCACTGGTCAGTTGATTAAAATGCAATGGTAACACTAAACTTACGAATCAGTCGTCGATGATTTCTTCGTCACTCTTGACGTCTTCGGATCTGGAGGGATTTCGCACAAACCACCACTGACTGCGTGATGACGACACTCGCTATCTGAAAATATCAACCGTGAAAAACACCATGGTGCCGAAATCAGATGTCCTCTGACCTTTGAGAGATTACGCGATGTTATCGTTTGTTCTAGCACCACTTATGAATAACTGAAACGTTTGGGACTTACTTAAAGCAGGAATGACAAGTGTGAAAAAACAAACAAACATGTGATCAGCTTTTTTAATTCAAAATTTAGCACGACGTTGCTAACAGGTAGGAATTCCTCGACCAATTAACAAAAGTGAGTAGCGCAAAGATCTATGTATATATATATATATATATATATATATATATATATATATATATATATTCACGTCATCCCCCAAGTTTTGACAATGAAGCAATAAACACAACAAACATCGAATTTATTCACCAGAAATGATTCAAATTGCACAACTTTGGTATCGTTCAATTCCCCATTCATTTGCAGACATTTTGGTATACAACTTGCCTATACTTATTCTGAGATGAAGCTGCCGTGGAAACAAAATCGCTTGCTTCTCATGCACGAGTGGCGTGCAGGGGAAATGTCTAGTGAAGCGGTGTGCAAGATTAACGGAGCTTTCTGTCAATGGGCCAAGCGTGACTGATCCTTCAAAATGCTTTTTTCAGCCCAAAACTTCGCAAACTACTTCCGAGCCGTCGTTTCTGCAACCGCATCTGCAATCACCTCAAGCTCCATAATTCTTGCGCACCTCTTTACTAGCATTTTTCTCTGCGCACCACTCGTGCATGAATAGCAGGCGAACTGTTGCCACGACAACTCCATTTTGAAGCAAGTATAAGCAAGTAGTAGATCAAAATGCTTACAAGAAAATGCGTAATTGAACAATATCAAAATGGTGCAATTTTGATTACTTCTGAATAACCGTCTCAGGACAGTGGACTCATGGCCTCTCCATCTTTAGGTGCCAACGCTGGACGGTCTGCTCTACCTACTCTGCATCTCCAATCCCCAGTGTGCCACTGTTACACGCAACAACCTGCCATTGTTAGACGCAGCACGCTGGGGTAAGAGATGCAGAGAGGTGGAGCAGACCGCTACACTTGCCACTCAGAGATGGGTCCGCAGTTTCGAAAGTGTTATTAAATTTAGTATTCATCTAACGCCAACACTTATGAAATGACCTAATATATAAATATATATATATATGTATATATCTATATCTATATATATATATATATATATATATATATATATAAGACAATATATATGTGTATAAATGCACACATACATACATATATAAACATATATATGTATATATATGCATATATATATATATATATACAGACGTAAATGTATACATGCATGTTGTTCAGGCGAATGAACTTGGAAGAGGATTGATCACTTGATTAGCATTGTCCATGCCTTTCAAAAATCCCCTACCCTCCACCGCAACCTACCTTGATAACGATGACTTAAGCGAGGATGAATGTGAGTGCCATGGGGTGATGGCACTTTTCGACCCAATGTCATCTTTGGGAATTTTATCTCGAGATCAGTGAGACTGTACAATATCATAAAGAAACATATTCTCCTTTGATTTGCTCACCTCAACTCTGCGGTAACCAAGTTACCACAAGTTGGAGTTGAGCGACCTGAAATGCTTTGAGTACTAATTTTGCTTATCATAAGTGCACAAACTCTAGAGCCGGAAGACATATGATTTTTGAATACATTATTGAAAATACGCGGCAAAAGAAAAACATCTTGTAGAACTCCAAAAATAATCGGCATGGAATAAACGCATACCTCAGAACAAAATGAATACACAATTAAATCAAAGAACAAAGCATTATAAAAAAGGGATCAGAGTCAGAAGAGCTTATTCAATTTGATTCGGTTCCTTTGTATATACACAGACATCTTCGTTTACATTAACAATTCTTCATTTGTCTACTAGCTATTTTTTACGAAGCTTTATTTTGGGAAAAGTTTACGCAAATGTCGTACTAATAACTATTCATCCGTTTTCACTGGAACGAAACTGGAACGTTTAGAAGTCTGTGAAAGATTCAAAAGCAGTACGGATGAAAACCAGTAGGCCTGGGTAGTATTAGTTGACATACGATAGCTTAAAGCACGAAAATTTCAGTGTTTGAACTAATTTTTGAATTACTTCCATACTGCGCTGTGACCTGGACAAAGTTTATTTTCTAAACTTTCAGTAACCATTCAATAGCAAAAATCTCGACGATTTTAGTGATGTACTCGCGAAATTCGCAAAATCCCATCCGCAGGCCGGCAAAAGCATGGTAGCTTGGTGCAAATGGTCTATGGGAGAAGCTGCGTGCAACGAAAAATGTTGGAGTGTGAAACATAATTTTCTTGCTGTTCCAGTGCAGTAACCTCTTCGGGACAGCTATAGAAATCGATGCGCGTGAAGCAAATTGTGTGATTTTCGCTGTTCAAATGAGATCTCTTTCTTCGTTTTGCAAAAAAAAAAATTTGAAATCTTGCCTTTCTTTGACAGAGCAAGATTTCCTCTACTCCCTCATATGCTTTTCGCTTAGGTATATGTGCTTTGTATAGAGAAATACGCTGATTTACTTTCAATATACTAAACTTGGCACGAATTTAATTATATTGTGTTGTACAAAGGAGATCACATAAAAAAATCTTTACTATTTTGACAAGACCTGATAGGTATCGTAGTGAATAAGGATTGAAATACAATCAATAATTTATCAAAAATGATTATGAATGCTGCGATCAACACAGCGCCGAGCACGAAGCTCAATGTTCTTCTAGCTGTAACAGCGCACTAAAAAGTTCTTTTTGAAAATCAGGCATAACATAAAATCTTTGATATTTAAGCTATCGAATAGTTATCAAAAGTCTGAATGAGAATGTGTGCAAAGTGGAAAGCGTAGACTGTGAAATAAATTTTGTTTCACCATTACAGCATAACAAAAGAACTGTTCAAAAAATAAAGCAAACCATTCAAATTTTCAATATACAAGCTATCGAACAACCACTGAAATGCCAAAAAGAATGAAAAAAAACGTTTTTTTTTTTGGTGTGGGTGCGGGTAGGGAAAGGTATCAAGTATACCCGCAGTAATGAACGTTGAACTTCCGTCACTTCTTCGAGCCCACATATTACAATCACCTACCTCTACGCAGACCTCTATTAGAGTTGTTTAGTTGTAGAAGATCTATTTTTAAAGCTACGCTGTCGCATTACAGCACATTGAAGGTTGAAATTTCGTATTCTTTTTACAAAGATGTGATACTATCACTGAAAAATGAA